ATTTTCCTCTATAACAATATGAAAATTGACCACCTGGCTTTTTGTTTTCACCTAGTTTTTAAACTAGGTACTAAAAGAGGTATGATTTTACTTACTAAGTACAGATGGCGTTACTGTGTGAGTTCTATCCTCACATAATTACTGGTTTAAGTAAGCAAAATCAACGTGATGAAAACAATTTTCCCTCTGCTGTTTTTCTTTGGATATAATGCAATGCTTGTTGCAATTTTAGTAAAAGAAGTAGTTGTTTTCTGAAGGGAAATGGTCGCTCCTATTTTGTATGACATATTATGACTTCTATTTTAAGTTATTATAAACGTCAAATCGTTTGCAGCTAACTTCATACCAAACTGGTACATTTAAAATATTACCACAAACAGCAAGGTTGGTAACTATTTTTTTTAATTTTGTTGACAAAGCTTGATAATATGCGCATTTTAAATCTACATGAAGTCACTTTATTAAGAAATTGAAAGAGATAAAGCTAAACTTCGTCATGTAAACCTATGGAAAAATTGATGTATCTACTATTGCCGCGTTTGAGAATCCACATCGGATGCATTTTTTACATCTCGAGCGTTTTTTATCCACATCGGACACATCTGTCCCATTATATTTAAGTATACTGAATCACGTGATCAAAGATTTACTACATCTCAGATACATCCGATGTGGATTATCTTTTCAAGTGACAGTTTGGATATAATTCAGAGAGCCATCTAGTATTATATACCTGCATCTTTGTCGACCATTCCTACTTTAAAATCATTCTTTGTAGATCACTTTTTAATTTAATTTTACCTTGAAGTTCAGAAGTGAGTACCAATAAACTATAATGCTAAATAAATTTAATATTATGTCCTTATATTGAATAATTTTGTTGTTGTTTTGGTTAAGTGTTCCTGCGGGCACTAGAATCATTGTATACAGTTTTCTTACTCGAATTTATTAGTTTTAATACCCAACCTCATTTACTTACATTTTTGTTGTTGTTGCGCTGGTACACTTGTAAACTGACATCCACGACAGAACCTGATGCACAATGCTGCCAATTGTCGTGTTTTTACGTCTTTTTAGATTAACTGAATGCTTTTCTATAAAATACTGCCATATAGCTGTGATTTTAAATCATAAATAAATGTACGCAAAAGAATTTCATATCTGACACGACCATATTCCGATAAATTCGTAAAAACATGGCAATTTTCCATTTTTTCTATTAATTTCATCCAGTTGGCAGCACTGCTATTGCACTTATGTATCTAAAACCATTTTTCTCATAATAGATATAAAGTGCGCTCTAATTTTCAAAATTAAATTATATGAAACTTAAGTTATTGAAGACATTTGCAGTTGATAGTTTGTCCAGCTGGAAATTAGGAAAAAAAAACTTTTTTTTTTCATTTTTCCTTTTAATGGCTTTATATCCTTTATTTAAAGTATCAGATATTAGTTTATATAGCAAACTGACCTTTTCATTTTTTTTTTTCTAAAATAATTGTATTTCTTTTTGACTCACCTTGTATATGTTTTACTTTCCTTATAATGATTAGAATTTTACCATACCTTGTAATATTTTAGTAACTTTGTTTTTTCCTGCTTATTTTTTTAATATAGTAAAAACAAGTGGCAGCCCAAAAAAAAAACAAACTGAAAATAAATTTTTACATTTCCCCTTAAAGAAAACTGTAAAATTCTAATTATGAACTACAATTCAATCAAAATGAATAAATAAATCGTCATATGAGACTGGAAATAAATTGTCATAAATAAGATATTTCTATCTTTGATTTTAAATTGGACACTTGGCAACACCGTGCATATTTGTATTGACAGAGTATGACAGATATAATTTTAAATTCTAATGAATAGTCTACACAAATTATCACTTAATGATTCTCATAAACCCTTAATATACATTTTTTAAACGTTAATTAATCAGTTTCCGGTGGTATAATTGAAAAATACTCTCCTTCCTAAAGCCTAAAATGTAAGGTTTGTAAAAAAATGTATTTCTAAGAAAATTGCGTACAATATTCACCAAAATGTTCAAAATTTAACGAGTTTAATTTACATCTAACGTTCTTTAAAGTTGATTAAACAGTCTGATCGTTATTATTTTTTGATCAAACTGCGGTTACCTTTTGAATTGACAACTATAAACACAATCTAGCATCGTTTATTAAAGTAAAATTTATTTCAAATCTATGTTAATACCCAAGTTTCAAAATTATTGTTAATATTACTGCACAAAAGTAAAATCGGTAATATATCATAGACTAACCTTTGAATATTTATGAAAAATCACTTTAATACACATAAAACTAACTCACACACTCAACTTTTGTAAAATTAAGCATCATTTTTGAATATCTGAACAGAGTAAAGATGGCGGAAGATGTTTACAAACGCGCACGCCCGGACGCTGATGCGCGTGAATGTTTCTGCGATTTATCGATGCAACGTTGCCAGATTGTGATTAATATAGTATTAATAAATAAATTTAAAAAAATGTTTAATTCAATCAAAAAGGATAAATAAATCGTAATATGCATGGGCGTCGTTACATAATTTTCCAGGAAGGGTCAAAAAATTTATTTTTGTTTATTTAGATTATTTATGAAATTTTTTAGAAAATTCGTCCTGCCCTAGTTTAAGATATGTTTTTAGTTGAAAATTTTTAAATAATTTGTTTTTATCAATATCTAAAAAAATAGGTATATTTTTTTCAGAACAATTTTTTTCCCTTAAAGTAATTAACAGTGTGTGTATAGTGTATGTTCTAGTTCTAAAAAGAATGTACAAACATGGGCGTCGTTACATAATTTTCCAGGAAGGTCCAAAAAAAATTATTTTTGTTTATTTAGATTATTAAGGAATTAAAATTCATCCTGTCCTAGTTTAAGATATGTTTTTAGTTTAACATTACAAAATTTAATTAAATTTTTATATCAATACCTAAAAAAGTTAAAAAACAGGAATATTTTTTCAAAACAATTTTTTTTTTCAGATTATTTTAAACACTACAATCAGGATTTACGAAGGGGGGCACTTGCCCCTCCTTGTTCCTAATAAACGACGCCCATGGTCATATGTGACTGGAAATAAATTAATTGAAGTGCATTTTAAGTCATAAAAAAAGTACTCATTTTATATTTCTTTATCATCGATTGTAATTGGACACTTGGCAACACCGTGCATATTTGTACTGACACTACTGACAGATATTCTAAATTCTAACGAATAGTCTACATAAATGATCACTTAACGATTGCACAGTTGCCAGATTGTGATTAATATAGTATTAATAAATAAATTTAAAAAAATGTTTATAATTCAATCAAAAAGGATAAATAAATCGTCATATGCATGGGCGTCGTTACATAATTTTCCAGGAAGGGTCAAAAAATTTATTTTTGTTTATTTATATTATTTATGAAATTTTTTAGAAAATTCGTCCTGCCTTAGGTGTGTGTATAGTGTATGTTCTAGTTCTAAAAAGAATGTACAAACATGGGCGTCGTTACATAATTTTCCAGGAAGGTCCAAAAAAATTTATTTTTGTTTATTTAGATTATTAAGAAATTAAAATTCATCCTGTCCTAGTTTAAGATATGTTTTTAGTTGAACATTACAAAATTTAATTAAATTTTTATATCAATACCTAAAAAAGTTAAAAAACAGAAATATTTTTTAAAACAATTTTTTTTTCAGATTATTTTAAACACTACAATCAGGATTTACGAAGGGGGGCACTTGCCCCTCCTTGTTCCTAATAAACGACGCCCATGGTCATATGTGACTGGAAATAAATTAATAGAAGTGCATTTTAAGTCATAAAAAAAGTACTCATTTTATATTTCTTTATCATCGATTTTAATTGGACACTTGGCAACACCGTGCATATTTGTACTGACACTACTGACAGATATTCTAAATTCTAACGAATAGTCTACATAAATGATCACTTAACGATTGCACAGTTGCCAGATTGTGATTAATATAGTATTAATAAATAAATTTAAAAAAATGTTAACGAAAGTATTTCATTATACATCATAATACTCCTTTCAGTATCTTGAAGGAAATCTCTAATACTGTATAGCTATATAAAAGACGAATTAAAAGATAACTGAAAACTGGATAAAAACACCAAATGTTAACCTAAAAAGAGACTTATTTTCAACTCCAGAAACTGAGGTTAAATTCATTATATATCTTTTTGTTACACCCTGTATAACAAAATTCAAATTTTTGTTAAAAAAAAAAAAACGTTCATCGATCCATGGCATCCATATATCAAAAATTGTTCTTTTGAAATAAAAATTTTATTTCTACATTAATTGAATGTTACATAAATTAGTATTTTATTAATATTAAAATTAATGTTTGTTCATAATGGCCAAATATTAGATATAACGATGATATTAGTAATAATGGTTAATAAACATAAAGTAAATACACCAAACAATTTGTATAAACTGCGTCGCAAAATTAACACAATTCCAAAATAAAAATATTGGTTATATCTTTATATACCCCGTATTTTTATTTCTTGCTTTTTAAGAATCTCACAATCTGTAAAAATATTTAAAATATTTCAAATAATAATTTTATTCCATTGACGTCAGACTTAAAAAAAATTATAAAGTCAATTTTTCGATTTTCAGAGTTATGCGTTAATTTCGTGAGGTGGTATATTTAAAAAAAATCACTGGGGCTCTATCACTGTTTTTTTATCTAATTAAGGTTCATATATTTGTCACCTCTGAATAAATAATGATTTTTGCAGACTTAAGTTGATAAAAGAGAAAATATTGTATGCATTTCAGAGAATTTATTTCTACATCCCCCATAAGTGAAAACAAACCAAAGAAAAATTGAATATCTAAGGTAAAATAAAGAAAATAATAATAAAAAAGTATGTAGAATACTGGAAAAAATCCTAAGATTTTTAATTAAGCTTTTATATACGAACCGTCTAAATGTGAATGTAAAGAAAGGAAAGAAAATATTGGTTGATTTCGGAAAACTGCAATTTTTTGCCAATGTGAAAATATAAACCCTAATTTTCTTCCCTACGAAAATAAGAAATCGAGGATGGTCTAAAAGAAAAGGCATTTGTCTAGCATACAAGAATGTTCGGATTTGATTCTCTTTTTTTTAAATCTCCGATTATTTGTTTTCACCTATGGGGTCTTAATAATTCGTAGGGGGATTTTTAAGATTCGTTTTCGAATTTTCAAATTATTTAACTCTGTAATTCTCATATTATATTACAAATAAAAACCGGACGTCCTTTGGCTTGGTGTAAAAACCTTAAAAGATTAATAATTTATTTTCCGTGATGAGATGTATGTTTAGATGGTTGTACTAACACATTTAAATATTGAACGACGAAAATTCGCAATATTTTATTTATATCTTCTACGATTTTCATATCGATAATGTCCCTATTGTCGTTTTCTGTATGCCATTCCGTAGGAAATGGGATTGATATTAAATGCATAATAGGCACATCTGGAAAAATAAAAGAAACATTATGCAATATCAGTTATATATAACAGTGCTTTCGTAAATTAGTGCATACATTCATTATTACCCAAAAATATTCATTTTTAAGGATATTTCAGAAACGAGTCGATTTTTAATAGTTATACAGCATGTCCATTTCGCAGCATATGGGAAACTTTTTTATTATTAACTTTCTGAAAAAAAGTTATTCTTCATAAAAAGTTGTGCATGGTCTAAAACCTAAACTGCAACCATCAAATATCAAATTTTTACAACAGTATACGAGGTATATCAAATAATATGAATTTTGCCAAAGAGTAAAATACCTTTAGTTTTGACAAACCTCGTATATGACTGGTAAACTTTAGGTTTTAGACCATGTACAAATAAAAAAAATTCTATATGCTGCTAACTTACGTAAACACACTGTTTACGTATTCAAAAAATAAAAAGAGCAAAATAGGGACATGTTACCATATCAGGACTGTCAATGTCAATTTTCCTATCTTATAAATGAAATTTAATTAATTTATTTTAATTTGCTATTTTCTACACGTAGGTGTATGTACAGAGGTCAAATTAAATATTGTTTTTGCCATAGATACATTAATATTTAGTCTGCATTAAATACTTTTTATATTTTTCGGAGTTTTTGGTATTTTTTTTTGTATTTTTTATATTTATTTGTGTTTGTATTTATTTGTATTTTTTATATTTTTTGTACTGTTTTATTTTTTATAGATTGTAATTCAAATTGTAAAACATATGGAATGGAAAGAAAAAATAGAAGAATAAAAGGTTACGTATGTTCAAAACACTATAGTTACCATCAACCATAAAAAATTACCTCCCACTTTAATGGCGTATAGTTTCTATAAATGCGGCGTTGCCAAATATAGTAGGAAAACGTATATGACAAGAAATAGGGCAGCTAATGAAAGTTGGCTGTTTGGCAGTGGCTCCAGGCCGTATAGTGTAGACTAGAAGCTAGAGAGAAGGCGAAAAAAAGTTAACAAATTCCAAAGCAATGCTAAAGTGTGAAAATAAATGAATTTTATAGAGAATATTTTTTCTTATTTGTATAAAACCTTTTGGGATGCACTGTATATCGTTAGGTCCTTACTTGGTAGTTTTGTGTATATTGTTGATACTTTTAAATAGTTAAAATAAACATATTTTTCAAAAACTCAAAAAAAGGAAGAAAGAATTAAAAAATCCAAATCCTGGCGTGGACTTGTGCATTAAAAGTTCTCAGTATGGTGCAATTTGTATAAACAATTGGTAAAATTGTTTTGCACACTATTTTTATACACTTATTTTAATTAACGTTAAAATATAACTTACGTTTCTGTAAAAATGGAATGTGATCATCTTCGATATATCCAACATATTTCCTTTTTTCAAAATAGCGCCCTCTGTTGTTCTTTAATAGATCTAATTCTGCTAGTTTGTCTTCAATTTTGGCCATTTGCAGAAACCTATATAAAAATTTTCATTTATTTTTGACTTATTTTTATACCCCTTAGTGTTAACGTCTAAGGAGCGTTTTCTGAGTTTAAAAACGAAAATCAGACAAGGGTTTGCGATTACAGTGTGATTTAGTATTAATATTAATCCCTTCAGCTATTCCTGTAACTTGTACTATTTCAGCCGGTAAGAAAGTTCTATAACAGATAAATCCGTCATGCGCATCAGTCACTCTTCATTGGTTAAAACATATTACGTCAGCGCCGGTCCATCCACTGCTTCATCAACAGTCGCCCTTTGTAGACGCGGACGCTGTGCCCGCCATTATGTAAAATATAAAATATATCAAACAATAAGGATGACATTTGAATTTAAATGTTTACATCACCAGGACTTCATGGATCACACAGGTATTTAAATAGTGAAACATTTATTAAACCTGTATATCGGTGTGACCGCTACAAGAATAAAACTGGTTTAATTTCAAGTTCTAGTTCTTTTAATTATTTACCAGATTTTTCTAAATTAATTTAAAGATGCAAATAAAATTTAATTTAAAATTTAAAGTGTGCACTTACCAATGTTGAGTGTCTTCAAAACAACTGAGGAAACGAGTACCTTTATGCCCTATAAGATCCAACAGTACAAAAAGGTCGATTCTCTCCAAATCAGAAACGACTTCATTAGTTAATTTAGATGTTCTTCTATTTCTTTCCCAAAGGGTGGATAAGTGTTTGGCGCCATAAATTGAATCTGTTGGGCCCCATTTTTCGAATGCCTCTTCTCCGTCAAGGAATAGAAGTTTCAAACTAAGTATATCATTGGACTTCAAGCTTTTTAATTCGGTGTGTAAAATTTTTGCTAAATTCAATATCATAGCGCACGGAACCGCGGAATCGGTCGCCCCTAAAACAGCATACACAGATACTTTAGTATAAATAATATAAAACAAACATAAGAGCAACAATATTTTATTATTCATTTAGTACATTATAGCACCAAATTTAAAAATATTTAAAGCTGACTCAGGACCTTAGCAACAATGGCAAACATATTCTAACAGTTTTTGAATTCCAGGAAAGTATTTACACATCTGTGTTCATTTTTAGTTGACAAAAATAAAATATCTAAATTAGTTGTTAATAAAATTGATTTAAATAATAAAAAAAAATCAGTAATTTGAAATTTGTTTATCATCAGGATACCAGGCATGAAAATAATGGGATCAAAGGCCAAAAAATTTGATACAACGTCAGTACAACTGCAGAAAATAATAATAAGTACAATAAAAATGTTACGAACAACTTTTTTTTCAGAAATTTAAAACAGCGAAAACAATACAACATAGAAAATTACTATTTTTATGTTGTATCTTACATCTGCTTATTTAAAAACTTAAAATAGCTCATATTATCAAAATTGGTTACTAACATTATAGTTATCTGTAAAATTGGCATTTAAAAAAGCTATTTTGGAACAATTTTTCAAAAATATTGCGAATTTGACTAGCAACTAAATCTGTAAAAAAAGGGTTAAGTAGTAAAAGGCCTTGCCTCAGGCCTACTTTGGCAACACTGCCTGCAAGCTGTATTGCAAAATGACAATAAAAAAGTTATAAGTAGATTAGATTACTCTAAATGACTTATTGATTGCTAAATTTATACACAATCACAGTAATAAAATATTAATCAATATTTAATTTTATGCCATGTTAATTTTATTAAAATCCATTGTTCAAATATGTTATTGGAAAATAAGATCACAATAGGGCTATTGGATAACTATAAAAAAAATCTAATGAGAGTAGTTAATTCTGCAATAAAAACAAAATAACTAAACATATTTTCATTTGTCAAATATTGAGTATTTAAGTTTTTTATGATTTTTTCTTTTAAATCATCAATATTATTTTGAAAATAAAATAATTATTTCTGCTAAAATTTTTGCAAATAACATAAAAATTAACCAGGAAAACCCCAATTCACAAAAAAGATGAAATAACTTTTGACCAAAATCTGTAATCCTATATTTAGGAAAGATATTTGAATTTATATACCAGTAAACTTTTAGGGATCGTTCTTAATGATACAATAACATGATCACCTCAGATTGCAACCTTATACAATAAACTGTGCAAGCTAAATTATGTCCTAGGTAAACTTAAATCAATTACTAATAACAAAACTATTCATTATCTATTGTTATCCTGCATCCTGCAGAAATGCAATGTCACCCATCACTCTACAGCGTGCTGCAGTCGTCATAAGTAAAAGTACAAATAAAAAAAGAAGATAAAACATTCCGTGTCAAGAAACATCTGGAAGGTTCAAGAGAGCTATATAAAGTCAATGACCCTCATGTCACAATTCAGTTTTATAATATATCTTATGGAATAGTCATTTGGGGAAACTTCAAGGGTATTTTTACCATAAAATCTGCAGTGTAGGCTTTCTCAGCCATTTAAAACTTAGAATTATGCCAATCAAACTTAAAAATTCAAATGTCCATGAATCATCTATTGGTTTGAATGAGCATGTAGTTATTAAGGCAGTTACACAACTTAACATCCAAATTGGATTCACATATAGTGTTAAAAAGATAAACTTCTGGAAAACACATTATACAGTAATCAATAGTATAAAACAATAGGAATCTGTTCTCAGCAATAATGTACATTATTGGACATTGGTTTAAATAATCCCCACACACAGTACACCATAGATGCAAACACAATAATTCCAGTCAAAACACAAAAGGATCTTGGTGTAATCATATCTAGACTTAAAATTGGAAAAACCCACATTGCTAATATAGTGAAGAAAGAGAAGTCTCATTTCCCATTTCAAAAGAGCTTTTAAAGACCATTCTGGAGATATGATTCTCAAATTGTACACAACATACATAAGATCAAAAATAGAATTTGCACAGACCATTTGGGATTCATACTTTGTTAAAGACATTGAACTGCTGGAAAAATTACAAAGAAGAGTCACCAAAATTCCACAAATTCTATAAAACAATGAGTATTGTGAACAGCTAGCCAAAATTCAAATTTCAAAATTAAATGATAGAAGAACTAAAGGTTATTACACCTGTAATAACATCTTCCAGGTCAGCACATTAAGAATCTTGAGAGGTAATTCGAAGAAATTAGATAAAAGTGTAATAAACAGAACTGTATATCTGTGGAATGGTCTCCAGGAACATACAGTATTAGCCCAGAACATAAACCAGTTCAAGGCAAGAGTGGATAAAAAACTAGAAGAATGAAGAAATAATTTTATTCATTATAGTATATTGTTTTAATCATGTAGTAGTAGTAGTAATTTAGAATAATTTTTGTTACTAACTAAAAGAGCAATCTTATCAACTATGTTGCTTGTCTATTCTTAACAATAATAATATCCTAATAGGAATGGTGACAAACTCAGGAACCTGCTGTGCTGATATGTAATCTTTGAAAAAAATTATCTAAATGTCTATGACAATTTAGGTACCTGATCATTATAAAGGTTTAGATAAAAATAGTTTATTAAAAATATACATAAAAAAATTATGAATAAATTTTAATTTTACTTCATAATGGAACATACAGTGAGGATGTATACATTGGAATACATTTGATATTGTTCTGTCTAACAGTATTTTAACAAAACGCTTTCACAGGTCAATTGGATGTACTAATGAATCAGTACTTTTGAGTACATGAGGTCATCGATTTTTTTTAAAATAGAACAACATATTTTTCTCTTCATTTTTGATTTTAATAACAGACACAAACATGTATGAAATACTTATAGTCCAAAGTCATCATACAAATGTATTATCAGAAATTTGCCACATTTCATACAACAACAAAATATAAGTTATAAACAGTAGACAATTATGGAACCTACAAATACACAATATATTTTTTTAATAATATGTAATTATTGTATTGTTTCAATTGATATTTATGTATTATTGATTAGTTTTTTTTTTTACTAAATAAAGAATCAATATACCTACATTAGAAGTGTGTCTACTTACCCATAAAATCAAAGTCTGGATAATATTTGCTATCATAATGACAAGCAAGTACCAAAAACCTCTCAGCTTTGGGATTCAAGGTAGCTATAATGTTTATAAATGTCTTTGTACCCATTGGGGTTTTGTCCTCAAAGGGATCAGTATCTACAGTCCAGTGTAAACTCTTTAGTTCTGATACTATATAATCACGTACTTTTTTATGATTGGCAGTCCCAACCACACGTGGTATTAAAATATGATCTAAGACCTCATTGGTATATGAAGTATCCGACAACCCAGCTAAATAATAGATAGTACCAGCATCTAAATGTGCAGATTGATGTTTCAGCTAAAATAGTTTTTTCACATTAATTTACCCTCAATTATTCATGCCTATTGGGTAAATTCTTTAGAAAAACTAGAATGTATATGTAAATTATTAAATATTTTAATTAATACCTAAATGCATTATAATTAGATAATTTCATCTAAATTACTTTGATGCTAATTTATATTTTTGACTAATATACACAATATTTATTATTTCAGTCAGGTTTTCATATTTTTGAGATGAATTGACAATACTAAACATATTTTGAAGATTACATTCTATAATTACAAATAAGAGAAGTATATTTAATTTTTTATTGATATGCAGTCTGTTACCTACTTGTGAATTAAAACTTTCAAATAAATCAATCAAAATTCTTACCTGCAAAGATCTTAATTCACTGCAATTTGTTTCCATAATTATTAAAGTCAAAAATGTAATTTTGATTAAATTAGATAACATTTTTATGATATAAACTATCACCTAAAATATAAATAATTGTTTGCGCATACAGAACGATTTCTGCTAATAAATACTTCTGCAATGAAAATTGCAAATACTTATTAATATTACGGAAAGCCCCACCAGTACCTAAAAACCCCCATTATTATCCAATCCAATCAATTGATAGCTTCATTGACCTTATAACAATATTAACAATAACACTTCACTCGATACATAACCTCAAAAAAACAAATTATCTCAGTCACAATTTTGACGTTTGAATGACTGGCTCGCAGCAGTGTTGCCAAAATATTTTTGTTACCTACCAGATTTGTTTAAAAAATGTACTAGATTGCATAAAAATGTACTAATTCTGTATAATGAACCAGATTTTTGAATGAATTGTGATGTAGTTTGGTTAATTAAGAAAAAAAAAATGGGGTTTTTAACGAATGATGCAAACAATATATTTTACACGCTAAAATAGAAATGGTACGAGATTTTGTTTCGAGTGTACCAGATTCTTAGAAAATGTACTAGATCTGCAACACTGACTAGCAGTATATGGCAACACTGCGGAGCTTAGTGATTTGACAGGATCAATGATATTGATAGTTATATAGATTGATCATCCACGTTTTTAAGAATAAATATAAGCTTATGCCTTGAAGTGAAAATGTAGGTAATTATTTTGTTATATTTATTTAAAGGTTGGAAATTGGTTTTAAACACATTTTTGCTAAACCGATTTTAATTAATTAGCACTTGCCAGGCAATATGGCCGCTCGCAAACAAGCCGCTGTGAGCAATCTATATCATTGACCCTGTCAATAATAACAGACTCACAGGGTTGTCATATCTAAACTGTCAGCTCCCACTGGGAGTATTTTGATAGGCCGTTGGAATGCCTAATACAGGGGGAAATAATTAAAATTTGCAGTGTAATAAATAAAAAAAAATATATTATTGGCACGAACTAACTCATGAACTAACGGACGAATTTTTCGAATAGTGACAATGCAATTTTCAATAGAATTTGTAATTAAAAATTATTTATATGTTGGTTTTAATAAACTTAAATAGATTTGTAAAACAAGTGAAATAATTATTTAATTATTATATAATTTTATTGCTACAGCTAAAAAAGTAACTATAATCAACAAAAATCAATAATAAAATATAGGCAGGCAACAGTATTTACAAGTAAGTGTAAGAGAAGTTGCCTAAGTTGTCATTGAAAAATAGGTTAAATAATGTCAAAATAAATAAAATAGTATTAAATAATAACGTGAACTCAAAATGCATTAATAAAAGAAAAATAATTGGTATATTTGTGATTGTAATTTTTGTTTTCTTCATTTTTAGTTCGAAATAAAACATAGAATTAATGATTAAAACTGGTTTCCTATCAATAAGTCACAAAATTATTACATTCCAGTCACATACCATAATCAAAGGTAGAAATCTAGTCCTTACTGAACATTTAAGATTTAAGTGACGTTGAAAAACCCCGTAAAATTGTTTATTTAAAAACTTTCTACTATTTCCAGTAATACTGGTGTTATTACAAAAGTAAAGGTACCTTTTTTTCATTTTATTGTAGGTACAGCTACCTATATTTATTTCTTTAATTTAATTTCCATTTTGTTACTGATAATTTGTCACAGACCAGAGGCGACTTTTGAGGGCGTTAAATTAACGTCACAAGTAATAGTCTATAATCCACATGTACTCATCATGTACCGAGTGTTCCATAGTACAGCCTTCAGAAAAAAATATTTTTAATGAAAACGTTTAAGAGAAATTGTTGGAAATTATTTTGTGACCTTTTATGACCATTTTATGATAGACTGTTATTCAGACATGTCTGACTGGTCTAAATAACATAATCTATCATGAACGTTCACGTTGGTTGATGCCGCGAAAAATACCTTAATGTGTAAGTCCCTAATTTCTCATGAATATTCCAAACATTGTGGTTTTTGGTAATTGATTATTAACTTTTTGAATATTTACATTGGTGTCGCCTTTAGGATACTTTGAATCATTCCACAAATTTTACTAGTGATCTATTTCAGATTTTCAGTTTTATTAGAATTAACCTTTCTCAAGGTTTCACCAAAATTTCAGGTGAATACTTCAACAATTGTGGTCTTGGTGATTTATTAACGTTTCGAATATATATCTACATAGATGTCGCCTTAAAAATACTTTACAGGTTAGGTTTATATTTTGATAGTCGACATATGTTGTTAGCCAACTTTAATCACCTAGCCGAGTCGCAAACCACAATAACAAATGGCGCCATCTAAAGGTGAGTTTAGAAGTACTACACAAGAACTACTCTCCGATTTGGGATTAACCGTGAGCATAAAAAAACTGTTAATAGACATTTTAAAATGACGCCAATAATGTTGCTATTTTAAATATAAAAAAATACTTAATAGTTATTTATTAAAGAATAAAAATAATTATTTAAAGACTAATATAAAAATTAATTCTCAGGCGGGTATGGTTTCCGGTCTACATCTGAGTATATTCTTCGTTCAGGATTCTTTTTAACTTCTCTGACATTTACGCCTGTAGAAACATTGACATCATATCTATAAAAAAATTAAATTTCATACGAATTCGTAAAAATTACTCGGTACTAAAAAATTTACCTAGAAGGATCAGGACGTCGCTTTCTATACGTATCGAATGATTCTGGAACTGTATATCGATAGTCAAATCTATCTCTGAAATATCTATCGTATGGATGTCGTTGTTCATCATTCCTTACATTTCTTGGTGCTTCAGGAAGTGTTGCATAGTATATTATTCGACGTTTTCTGATAGCTTCATTGTAGTCAGCATTATAATTTAAAGGATTGTCAGAATATTCCTGCCCTCGGTAATAATTTCTACGTTCAGTAGGGTATCTATTATAATTATTGTATCCAGTATATCGGTTTTCCCTAAAAATACATTGCAAATTTGGATACCTAACCTCTAAAAAATTCAGCTGTACGTTTAGACGGGCGCCAGTTCCAATTTTTCGATTGAGGCACAAAATTTCTCAAAACTATTGTAGTCAAATATTAATTTCGGGTTTTGTTTAAGAAAATCAACTATACTTTCCGGAATTGAATACTGCCAATTGCTATTTATTTTGACACCAGTACGGAAGTAACATTCGATAATTTTTGCTTTTTTCTCTATATTGAATGCCATTTTTTAAATTTAATTTAATCAATAAAACTGACAAATTTGATATAAGCTATCAGTTTATAAATATATATTTATGATACCGATACTTTTCTACATTCCCTAACTTTTTCTCGGTATTTTGTCAATCGATAACCATTGTAGACATAGTCATTTTCTTTCTGAATTTTGATACTGGAAGATATCTTATAAATTGGAGTCTAGGATAAACAAATTAAAAATGGATAAATAATTAACGAGCAGTGTTTAGAATTTTCTTTCAATCTCAAGAACAAGAATGTTTTCTTATTATTATATTAATTATTCTCAGTTAAAATGATATAGAATCATGAACATAAAAATATCTGGTACTTACCTAGGGACATAATTTCGAGCAAATCGTGGTTGATAATAATCCATTGCATCAGGTAAATCACTATGTAAATACTTATTGGTACCTTCCGATCTAGGTTCTCTATTAAACTTATATTCTAAAGGCTCTCTTTCGGTCATTCCATTAGTAACAAAATGTGCTCGTGGGGCTCTAGCGACATCTGATGATAATTTGATGTTATCTTCATAAATATTTTCATCTTGTCGAACGAGTCGAGCTTGCTTGACCCAGTGCTCTTTGACAGCTCCTCTAGTTTTTCTTGCAGCGTCATTCGGCTTATTCGAAACTGTGGTTAAAGTATGAGAGTGGAGAGATGGGTCTGGAAGGCTTTGTAAAAATTTTCCTCCGATTTGTTGTCTAAAATTACATTTTTTTTAAAATACTTACTTACCTACCTATACAGATTTATACAGGGAGGGGGGGTGCTGAATTAAAATAAAAAAATTGCTATAAATCAAATACGTTAAATTTGATATACCAAGATCTTGTCAAATATTAAAAATGTTAAAAATTTGACACGTGCTTACTAGAAATTTAGAAATTAAAAAATATATTAAAAAAACAAAAAAGTAAATTTTTGTTGCAGTGGCGTAAAAATGGGGGAAAATAGGCACTAACTTAGATAGCGCGCCACTGGTTAAATTTTTTTAAAAGTACAACAAAGTATTACTTTCTTAAACAGCATAATAGTAAAAAAAATATTTTTGTTTTTTTATTTGTTTTTCCTTGTTTTTCTGCATTTTTCTTTGTTTGTCTTCGTTTTTATGTGTTTTTATTTGTTGTCCTTTGCTTTTATTTGTTGTCCTTTGCTTTTATTTGTTGTCCTTTGCTTTTATTTGTTGTCCTTTGCTTTTATTTGTTGTCCTTTGTTTTTCTTTGTTTGTCTTCGTTTTTATTTGTTTTGTTTTTGTTTTGTTTTTTTTTTTGTTTTTTTTTGTTTCTTTTTGTTTCTTTTTGTTTTTTTTTGTTTTTTTTTGTTTTTTTTTTGTTTTTTTTGTTTTTTTTTTGTTTTTCTTTGTTTTTCTTTGTTTTTCTTTGTTTTTCTTTGTTTTTTTTTGTTTTTCTTTGTTTTTCTTTGTTTTTCTTTGTTTTTCTTTGTTTTTCTTTGTTTTTCTTTGTTTTTCTTTGTTTTTCTTTGTTTTTCTTTGTTTTTCTTTGTTTTTCTTTGTTTTTCTTTGTTTTTCTTTGTTTTTCTTTGTTTTTCTTTGTTTTTCTTTGTTTTTCTTTGTTTTTCTTTGTTTTTCTTTGTTTTTCTTTGTTTTTCTTTGTTTTTCTTTGTTTTTCTTTGTTTTTCTTTGTTTTTCTTTGTTTTTCTTTGTTTTTCTTTGTTTTTCTTTGTTTTTCTTTGTTTTTCTTTGTTTTTCTTTGTTTTTCTTTGTTTTTCTTTGTTTTTATTTGTTTTTTCTTTGTTTTTCTGTGTTTTTCTTTGTTTTTCTTTGTTTTTCTTTGTTTTTTTTTGTTTTTCTTTGTTTTTCTTTGTTTTTCTTTGTTTTTCTTTGTTTTTCTTTGTTTTTCTTTGTTTTTCTTTGTTTTTCTTTGTGTTTCTTTGTGTTTCTTTGTTTTTCTTTGGTTTTCTTTGTTTTTCTTTGTTTTTCTTTGTTTTTCTTTGTTTTTCTTTGTTTTTCTTTGTTTTTCTTTGTTTTTTTTTGTTTTTCTTTGTTTATCTTTGTTTTTCTTTGTTTTTCTTTGTTTTTCTTTGTTTTTCTTTGTTTTTCTTTGTTTTTCTTTGTTTTTCTTTGTTTTTCTTTGTTTTTCTTTGTTTTTCTTTGTTTTTCTTTGTTTTTCTTTGTTTTTCTTTGTTTTTCTTTGTTTTTCTTTGTTTTTCTTTGTTTTTCTTTGTTTTTCTTTGTTTTTCTTTGTTTTTCTTTGTTTTTCTTTGTTTTTCTTTGTTTTTCTTTGTTTTTCTTTGTTTTTCTTTGTTTTTCTTTGTTTTTCTTTGTTTTTCTTTGTTTTTCTTTGTTTTTCTTCGTTATTCTTTATTACTCTTCGTTTCTTCGTTATTCTTCATTACTCTTCGTTATTATTTATTTTTCTTAGTTTTTCTTTGTTTCTCTTCGGTTTTTTCCTCTTTATTCATTTTTCTTTGCTTTTTCTCCTTTTTCTTCGCTTTTCTTAGATTTCTTTCGTTTTTCTTTGCTTTTCTTCGGTTTTATTTGTAATTCCTCATTTTTTTTAGTTTTTCTTCGTTTTTAATTGTGTATTTTCTCTGGTATTTCTTCGTTTTTGTTGGTTTTTCTTCGTTTTTAATTTTTCTTCGTTGTTCTACGTCATTCTTCATTTTTCTTTGTTTTTCTTCGATTTTCTTACTATTTCTTACCCTCTCTTCGTTTTTTTCAGTTTTCTTCGATTTTATTCGTTATTAATGATTAAAACTAAGACTCAAATAATAAAATTATATAACACTAAAAATACCTGCGAGAATTTTCAGTTTGACCATCTTCAGTATTATGAGTTACGGAGCGTTTAAATTTAATAAAATCGTTTATTAAAACATTCTTGTCTATGTCTAACTCTTTGCCATTCCTTTCCATATTTGCATCAAGTTTCTCGGTAATATTTTCGATTACTAGAACCTTTAGTGGTTGTCCAATGGTTTCATTTATTATTTTTTGTGATTGCTTTGCTAATATATCTCTTTTTGATCGATTTTTTTGATTTCGTTTGGTTCTGTATGGCAAATCTTCAAAATAATATTTAATATGTCGATTTTCTTCATAATCGTTATCTTTGCTTGAAGATATTTTTTTAGTAGATCTGGGCATAAGTTCTACATCAATTTCGTCGTGCTGGATATCTTCATGAACGTAATGTTCGATCGGGATGTCTTCAATTTGATAGGAGTCTTGAGCTGCCGTTTTAAAAAACCATATTGATAACCAAAGTATCGCGTAATAATATCCCATTCTATCTAGAATAGTAATAACAATAATTAATTTACTAATTTAGGGTGAGATTACAGAAAATGCACCACGTCTGTACTTTTGCAGATCTGCAAATATATGGCGGATTTACAGATGCAAGATACAAGCAAGGATACTAGAGAGTCATATTTGCAGATCTGCAAAGTTGCAGACGTGGTGCATTTTCTGTAAACAATACAAAGTTTACTACTTTCATACTTTATTTTATTTTAAGACATTCTCTACCTGTACATTTTTAAGTATACCTACCACACGAAGTGATAATTTTAGTTTACATAAAGTGTAATAAAACAAAATCTTCATGAGGTATTTGAAAAGATTATTTAACAATGGAGACAAAACTTTTATAAACAACATTTGCTTTGTGAAATTTTTAACATAGGATGTCTTTATGACTGGCTTATTATTTACGTTGCATTACAATAGTGAAACGCATTGTATATTAAAAAAGAATTATATATCAAAAAAAAAGTTAAACAATTAATTGCCAACATCAGTTTCCTGTTTCCGGAATTTCGAATTGTTTCAGGAGCTGATTGTTCAACAAAAGCCAACAATCGTAATACCATCATGAAATTTGATCTACTAATTCAGTTAAAAAACTATTTAATATTTTAATTGACTGTATTGAAAAAAATTATAACGTGTCAATAAAATTAAAATTAACGCAAATGTTTGAAAATGATCTATGAATCTTTATATTATAAATTTTTCTTTTAATTTCTATGTTGAGTTAATAAAATTGTTCGTACTATTTTAAATTGTTATCAATCTCCTTCTGGAGACATTCATATTTTTATAAAAACTTTTAAAAATAAAATTAAATTAAATCGCCATAGTTTTCTCTGTAAAGCAGTAAACAAAAAAAATTATTTAAATATTAGTATGATAGGTATTTAAAGGTATCAAATTCGATATTACTTGTCAATGTATTTTTTTTAGTTATTTTCTTAAATTTTACATTTTTTGATAAAATTAGAGGAAAATTAAGAATTATTTCGCTATTTCAAAATAAAAACATTTACGTGTAAATTTAAAAGGTTGCAAATTTGAATAGCTGTTCTAAAAACTAAAAAATTTTTATCTATGATATAAAATAAAAACGTAAATTTTATTGAAAAAACTTGTTGCAAAATTTCAAAAAAGTAGCAAATTTGATATAATGTTGAAAATAACACAAGTTTGCAGCAGTTTTACAATTTTTTTAGACATCTTTAAAAATCAAATAAATAGTAAAAAATATTCCGAAACAAAAACAAATACAGGTACTTACCGTGTATATAGGCAATCACCTTTTGAAATCGTTGCTATAACAATAAATCATGGAAGAGCCAAATGAAATTGTTTAATGGGAACGGAAATTCTGCGCTTGCTTGTCCACTGAACCAAAAAAATGTAAAATAAAATGTCACAGAGATCGTTGAACTACAATAAACAAAAAATAGTAGTTCATAAGACCGAAAAGTTGAGCTTTTCTGACGACATAAACAATCAGTGTGTCTAAATCTAGATGTACCGGGTGATCAATTAAGAGAGGTATATATTTAAGAAACTAATAATAACCTGAAGGCGACATCGATGGAGATATCACCAAGACCACAATTCTTGAAATATTCACAAGAAAGACCTTCAGAAAGGTTAATTTTATTAAAAATAAAAATCTGAAATAGATAGGTTTACTATTTAAACTTGTGAAATGATTTAAAGTATCCTTAAGGTGAAACCGATGTTAATATTCGAAACGTTAATCAATCACCATGATGACAATTTTTGAAATATTCAGAAGAAATTTTAGTAAGACCTTCAGAAAGGTTCATTCTAATAAAATTGAAAATCTGAAATAGATAGGTTGACTATTTAAATTTGTATAATGATTCAAAGTATCCTGATATATTTGTAACGCTTTTTATAGAAATTTTTCTTGATATATATTTAAAATGGTACTTAAATATTCTATAGAAGTTTAAATTTTTACATCATATTTCCCAACATTCCTCGCATATATCTACGATTAAAGTTTCATGTACGCAGCAATACTTGCATTAGTAGTTATAGTCCTTCCATTATCAATTGCAGAACACAGTTATGTGGGGAATCATCAATATTTAATATATACGCACGGTATTCATGCCAAATTAAGAAACGAAAAATAATGTTTACTCCCTTTATACAAAGCGGTAAATATTAAACGAACCATCAGTTGTTTACCAATGAAAACATCGAATCGTAAACTTAAATGCACTGTATTGGCCGAAGGTTTACGGAAGGCAGGTGTTCGAAAATATTCCTGGAAGACAGTCTGCGATATCAGTGGATTACTGTCGTGCGGTGTGTTTTGTATGTGTGGTTGGTTTAATTTAAATTTCTTTTAATAAATATGGCGTTCTTTAGACCATGGGCGAATGAAGAAAATGAAATTGCACAGTGTAGTGAGATTAAAGACAGGTATGACTTTAACGATAAGGATTTAGATATACAAACACAAGTTATTTTAAATATATTCGAATGTTTAAAAAAAGGAAAATATTCAGCAGTCTGATAATGCGTTCATAATAACAATTGCTGAATTAACTAAAGTAAATAAATTTTCCGTTTATCCGGTAGTAACGAAAGCGGTTGCTGTGGATTATTCATAAAACCGAAAAACATGTAAAGAAAAACTGAAATCAGTTGACAGAGCTACCCAAGATTTTATACGAAGGGCAATTTATAGTTTATATAAGGAGAACAGGGTTCCGACATTGGAAGTAATACAGCAAAAGGTGGCAGATTTTCCAGGATACACTTATACCAGTTTGGAAACATTGCGTCAAGTTTTGTCAGGATGTGGTTTTAAACACAAAAAATTGAATAAACAGATGGCAATCACCGAATCGTCAAGGATAGTTCAATGGCGACAAGATTATTTGCGTCAGATAAAAGGCTACAGAAGTTCTAATAGACACATAATTTATCTAGATGAAACATGGTTTGACAGTCACGATGTAGTAAATTTCGGTTGGGTTGGCAGTAGTAAAAATTGCTGTTTGAATGGGCCATGTTCTAAAGGGAAACGCATTATAATAGTACACGCTGGAAGCAAAGACGGTTTCGTGCCTAATGCTTTATTATTATCTGCTAAACAAATTAAAAACTGTGCAGCTGATTATCATGAAGATATGACAGCAGAATTATTTGAAAAACGGTTTAATAAACAGCTTTTACCTTACATTCCACCACAGTCAGTAATCGTTATGAACAACGCATCCTACCACTCGCGGCAACTCCTTAAAATACCAAATAGTAGCAGTAAAAAAAGCTCAAATTTTAGCTTTTATGTCTGAAAAAAATATTCCTATTCCTGCCAGTGATAGTAAAAAAGGACCAACAAACAAAGAATTGCTTACTGTTATTAAAGGTATAAAGTTAGAAAAAATGTATTATATTGACAAGCTGTACAAACTCTTCTCAGACTACCTCCTTACTATTGCATATTTAACCCTATAGAGTTAATATTGGCAAACTTAAAATCAGAATTATGAAAATGTAATCAATCTCCAGAACTGAGTAAAGAAGTTGTAGAACTCGTAAAGAAAGTTCTAGCAGCAGACCACCAAGAGCTTTGGAAAAAAACTGCGTCGAACATGTTATTAAAGAAGATAGGTATGTAGTATTACCCTCTTTACAACCCATCATAATTCAACCAAATGATGACTCTAGTTCAGAGGATTCAGACTGCCATGATTATTTATAAAGATACTTTAGAATTGAATTGTTTTTTTTTTCTTTTGTTTTATTTACAAAGAATTTATTTTACTTTATGGTTTTTTCTTTGAAATTTCGTTTTCCAGAAAAAGAACGAATGTGGTATAAAAAGGGTTCAGTTCACGTCTGGTACCCTGTTTAAACCAAACGCCCTTACAGGCAGGTACACTTTACTCGCTTTTTTACGTTTTATAATTTAATATTCAGTTGTAGCAAGTTAACGAGCTATAATGATTTTTTTTTAAGTCCAAGTAAGATTACAATTAAGTGCATCTGTCTAAATAAGGGCGTATAATAACGTCCAATTTATAATTATTCGATTTCCTTTTAACGAATACTTTCTTGCATATGATATATATTAAAAGTATTAATAAACTAAATTTATAAAATGAGGTAGGTATCTACGCCTATGGCAGATCAAACAAAATTATCGGTAAAGGTTCCGAACGAGTTTTTATGATCTGCAATTAATAATGAAAGATCTTTTGTACCTTTTTTTTAGTGAAAAACATTTATACGATGTTAATTTATAATGTCAACATATTAATGTGTACAAACATCGACTTTCGATCAGTTAAAATATATATCTTTATTACTATTAGGTATCGAAGATTCTAAAAATATGCAGTATTTACGATAACTCAAAGGGATTAAGCAAAAGAAAACGCTTAAAACAATACAATTTATTTTATCACATGATGTGAAAATTACAAATTATGTACATTATTAAAATAAGAAAGGTTCTATCACTTTTTTACTTCATTTCAAAAACATTATTATTTTAAATCTTAGTTCAGTATGACTTTCGTTATATTGTCGGAACATAAAATGCAGTAGTTTTCATCATATTTTCTGTATCTATAAAGAATCTACAACCTTCGTTGTCTCTTATACCAATTCAGGAGTCCAAAATAAATCCAAGGAAATAAAAAATATTTAAAAGAAAATTTTACAAACTGTTTGAAAGACTAAAAAACTATTTACTTTTAGTAATTTTGAAAGTAGAGTCTTCAACAAACACATGACTAAATTGATGCAAAAGCAATTTTTAGAGGATTGGAAAAAAGTATGAAGAAATATGTGAATTAGACAAGAAACTTTTTGATTTAATGTTAGAAAAAAGGGTTACAGAAATGGAAACCGATACTGCGAGTGTTTGAGTTAAATATTGTAAGGGAAAAGATTTTGTCTTCACTTAAACTATCCGACAATGCTGGGTCTATCAAAGATAGTACTTTACAGATTAATAAGTTCAATTTCCTAAGAATGAATTAAAGAAATTTGGCTTCATTTCTTTAGGATTTCATTTCAAAAAATCTTCAACATCCTTACCTATATAATTACATAATGCTCAACAAGGTTCAAAAACTATGGAACAATTTGGAAAAACGTTAGAATTATTATTAATTGACTTAACAATTACCCAAGCCACCGATAACCTAAATAGTGTTCAAATTTTAAAAGAAGTTAATGAGAAGATTATTGCTCTCAACACTTGTGCACAAATAGGCTAAGAAATAGAAATTTACAAACTATTATTAGAGCTTGGAAATATGTAAAACTGAATGAAGCAATCCAAGGAGAAAATAAATATAAATAATTTTATGCACGACCGGACGATAAAATCCAGATTATAAATACGTTTAGCGGGCGTCAAGTGTCCCTTTATCGCCCGCCGAGCAGTAAAGTATTTTTTTTTTATAATAATAAGAAAAAGAGAAAATAATAGTTATTTATTAATATAAGAAAGTTGTTATATACAAATTACTAGTAGTTTCACGTGGCTCTTAATTTTCAATTTTTATTTTCCTATATGCGATGAAGTGATCGAATTTTGGGCAGAGTCGGAACATCTGAGGGGTGTTTTATGGAGGGTCATTTTTATATTTTATGCGGCATATCTTTTTTATTATTAATATTGGGAAAAAAGTTATTCTTGATAAAAAGTCGAACATGGTCTAAAACCTAAGCATGTATAGCCTGGCGACATATACCAAAGGCGTGGCAAAAGGTGAAAGTCATATACCTCCCTAAAGTAGGAAGGTTTAATGACATGACGCCAAAGTCGTACCGCCCAATCAGTCTATCGTCATTCATGCTGAAAACGCTAGAAAGACTAATAGATAGATATATACGAGACGAAATACTGAGAGAAAATCCTCTCAGCGACCGTCAGTATGCATATCAGCCAGGAAAGTCAACTGATTTGGCCCTGAATGATCTAACAGGCTATTGTCAAAATCCCTGGAGGATAAAAAAATGGCAGTAGCAACTTTCGTAGATATTGAGGGAGCTTTTAGTAATGCTCAAACAAGATCTATAATTAACGCATTAGCAATAAAAGGGGTACCAGTAGTCCTATGTCAGTGGATAAAAGCCAGCCTAGAAGAAAGGGTAATAACATCATCTCTAGGCGAAGCTACACTGATAGCTAAAGCAGGCAGGGACTGCCCCCAGGGAAGAGTACTATCACCCCTCCTCTGGTCAGTCCTAGTGGACGAACTTATAAAAAGGCTAATATCTGCAGATTTTTACTGCCTAGGGTATGCCCCGATGACCTGGCGATCGTCGTAAGAGGCAAGTTCGCAGGTACAATATCGGAGCGCACACAAACCGCTCTAAACATTGTCGACGAGTGGTGCAGAGAGGAGGAACTAACAGTTAACCCTCACAAAACATAAATAGTACCAACAGGACTAAAGTCACCAGTACTGAAAGGAGTGAAGATTCCATTCGCCCAAGAGGCCAAATACTT